AAAAGTACACACCCTCACAAACACACGTATCATATAGTGACTATTCCTTACCACTATTTCCTGTTGTCATTGAGTATTGTTGATTCTACCTTTGAAAAATGTCTCTCACACACCAGGTGCTATGGCACTTGCCTGTAATCCCAGTAATGCTGGAGGCTGAGGCAGGAGGATCAAGTTCAAAGCCAGCCTCAGCAACCTAGCAAGGCTTTAAACAATTTAGCAGACGCTGTCTCAAAAATTAAAAAATGTAAAAAAGATGGCTGGTGATGTGGCTCAGTGGTAAAGTGCCAGTGAGATCAATCTTAGGAGGGAGGGAGGGAGGGAGGGAGGGAGGGAGGGAGAGAGAGAGAGAGAGAGAGAGAGAGAGAGAGAGAGAGGGGGAGGGAGAGGGAGGGAGAGGGAAGGGAAGGAAGAAAAATGTCTCTCACATCATCCTCTCCATCCTATTTCTATATTAGCTCAGGCTATGAACAGGTTGTGATTTTGTACCATCTTAACTATGTTCCTTCTCTGTCTTCACTGATTTATTCTGTGTTTCTAGATAGCTCAATCTTTCCTTTATAAAATTGCAGGATGCGGTGGCACTTGCCTATAATCCTAACAGCTCAGGAGGCTGAGGCAGGAGGATCGTGAATTCAAACCAGTCCCAGCAAAAGCGAGGCACTAAGCAACTCAGTGAGACCCTGTCTCTAAATAAAAGACAAAATATTGCTGGGGATGTGGCTCAGTGGTCGGGTGCCCCTGAGTTCATTCCCTGGTACCAAAAAATAATTAAATAAAAATAAAAAATAAAGTTAACTTGTTAACCAAGCAATTCATTTTATTTTAGAAGTTTAAAAAATCAAGCTATAAAAAAGAAAACAACAAATACCACTTACAAGCCTATCATTAGATGCCACTGTTACCATTTCAATGAATTATCCTTCTAATATTTTCAGTGCACGCCTGTTTATTTTTTACGAAATGTTACCATATGTTGTGTTTAAAACTGTGTTGAAAACATCGAGTATGTTCAATATCAGTACGATCCTTTCTTATCATCACATTGTTTTAATACCAGCAAAACATTTCCTCATGTGGATGCAATACAACTTAATTATTGTTGAACATTCCGTTTGTCTTCAGTGCTTAGATTTGATAAACAATACTCTGAGAAGTATTCTTGAATCTGAATCTTTGTATACTTTTACAATTTTAAAATTGCAGAGTGAAAGAGGATGTTTTTAAGGCTTTTGACATAAATAGCAAAATTGCCCTTCAAAAAGGTTACAACCATTTGAAATTCCACTAGCGCTATATGAAAAATGCCTGCTTTCTTGAACCTCATGCACACCAGGTACCATTTTAAAAATTCTATGCCAACCTGGTAAGTGAAGTGGTAAATTGAAGTTGAATCTTTTTTTTTCATATCTGTTAGCCATTTGCATTCAAGTCTACTAGCAGAAATTTAAAAAAGGAGCCTAATTGTGTGATTATTGAATTTCACATGGGAAGGAGGAAAGGAGGATAGAGAGGAAGGTAGGAAATGAAGACAAAGCTGAAGTCCTCATGTAGCAGGGGGTCTCAGGACCCTCTAATCCTCCCATCTCCTGACTTATAGAATGTTAAGATTCTCAGAGATCTCCCCCTCCCTACTGCCTGACAATATGAGTAAATAAGAGCAACTAATGTTCTGAGGTAGAATGTGGAGAGGCAGCACAGTACACTGTCTTCATCCCCCCTTGGAGCTTCAAAGCACCCTTAAAACGTGCCATTTCACTGAGAGTTATACAGCTGTCAGCTCATCGTCTCCTCTAGCTTCAGCACAACCAGACTGAGATCTTCAGCCATATGCTCATTATAGAACTCCACTCCAACTAAACAAGTTGGATACACTGTGAAGTTCACTGAGCGGGGTTTGACTGGTATGGAAATGTATTTGCCTTTGATGCTGGCAAAACGTGTTTGTTGGAAATTTGGGAATCTGTCAGAAAGGGAGGTAGTTTTAAATGAAGGTGAGGTGAGGTGGAAAGATAGGACTTGGGAAATGCAGAGAAGTATTACCCAGATGGAGACAAAAGAGGGGCCTAGAAACACTGGAAAGAGAATAGTCATCCCTATCACCGGAAGCTCTTACAGCACATCACCCTAGAGAGATTCTACTTTGGATGGGGTTTCTTATTATAATTGAAGGCTTAAATCCTACCTTCTCCCTCTCAGCTAGATTAGGGGGATGTTTTTTAATCCTCTCTCCGAGGGGTTGCCAAAAAGGATCTGGGATTTGAAATGTGACACAGCATGTTGACAGAACTGTGGAAGGAGAGTTGAAATCATTTTTGTTTTTCTGAAATCTGGGATCCTGACTTTTCCTTTCCTTTGCAATTTCAGTTAAAACGAAAAGGAAAAATCAGAACACGTACATTCTCAAAAACATTCAAGTCTGCTTCCACTGGGCCATCCTGCACTTTGGGGGAGTATCAAGCTTAGAAGGAAAGTCACAGGACCCTTTCCTTAGCCTCTTCCTGTGGCCAAGGAATGAGAAATCCTAAGATTTTAGGGTGTACTCAGGCTTCCTCTGTAACCATGTGGGGAAATAAGAACTAGAATCCAGGCTCCTGAGCCTTCCCAGTGCTCTTAGGATACAACTGATTTCCTGCTGTAGTATTCCAGAGAAGTTTCCTTCCCCTGTGGGTGTGGGGCTGAAGAGTGTACCAGAAATCAGCTCCATCAGGGTCAGATTGTTCTGTGAAGGCCTCTGGCTCTCTGTTCCCCTCCGCCACATTCTCTCCAGGCTTGACCTGAATCTGCTTGACTTGTAAATTCAAAAGCTGGAGCTGAAGTGACTTTTCTCTTTTAAAGACTATTATTTGATTATCTTCATAACTTTACTTATAGTGCTTAAATTATTTTTAGCATTTTTTTAGCTCACATGTGATTAATCTTAAATGATAATTTGACAATTTACTGACAGGTTTCCAAAGAATCTGTAATTAATTTTAGTGCACAGTTCATTTTTTTTTTCTAATTTAACACTTGCGTTTATCTCATTATATATGTTGCATTAAAGATATTAATGTTCTACTTGAACCAAACATATATTTTAAGTTTCATACCGCTGGAAGGAAGTGGGGGATTTGACAACATACAATTACATTTTTCAAAATGTCTGAACATAAAATATATATCAACCCTCATACTCCAAGTATATTTATGACATTCAATGCAACAACAACAAAAAAATCAGAACTTCTAAGCCTAACAAAAATTCAATTCAGACCTGAGACAGAGAAGGAAGTCTCGCAGCTCCCAGCTCATTTCCCTCTCCTCCCAGGCACATGCTTCTGCCTCTTTACTCTGATCATACAGCTGCTCCTCCAAAAGTTATTGCACAGTGACATACTCCATTGGGGGTGTGGGCTTCCAGGGTTCTGGAGCAAGCACCAAGAGGAGCAAGAGACATTTCAAACAGCAACTTTGGAGGAAGGTAGTAAACATTATCAAGAACTTAGTCAGAGCTCAGGGGCAAGACACCAGAGACAGCTGAAGTCACCCATAAAATGTCATCCTGCACTTCCTGGGAAGGTCAGACCCACTGGGAGGAAGCTCCCCCCTCCTTGTTTTCTGTGCAATGAATTATACTCATGGCACGAGGCCCCCTCCTGTCTCCCATTCCCACCTTTTGCTGCTGGTTCTCCTGTAGATAATTTGGGTGTGTGGTTTTATTTTCAATACAATTTTATAGTCTTTGCATCCTTCAGGAAATCTCTCATTATTGCCAGTGTATCAAAGAGTCTTCTTACAGCTTCTAGCATGACTATTAGAAGACACTCCACTAACAAGTCATTTCAACAGACGTGTTCTCCAGCAAGAATCACTGAATATTTGGTTAACCTCTATATTCTGATGACCAGTAAAATCAAAGAATGGAGGATATAGTACCCAAGAAAGCATCATGAACAGAATTAGTATAACAGTAGATTAACTTCAATTAATATCCTTATATGTGAAAAAAAGTTAGTGTGTGTACATCAACATATGTTTGAACACGTGTATCTGTGAAATAGTCAAGTAGAGATCAGAGATATTAAAAATTAGATTGTAACAGTAAGAAATTTAATAGATGGCCTACAAAGAAAAATGACATTTGGCAGAACAATGATCAATGAGCCAAAATTTTAAGTGAAAAATTTTATCAGAATGAGCAGAAATGAATAACATATATGAGTAAGAAAACAAAATTAAGAGACAGGGCCAGAAGTTTAAAAGATTAAAAGAGTTCAAGACAAACAATAAAGAGAATGTAGACAGTAAATTAATGAGCATATCAATAAAATTAACTAAGTTTTTTTAAAAAATGAATGAACCCACCTGTTTGAAAGGGTTTAGCGGGTAGCAATTAGAATAAATACTCCACCATGCATATGCACATACCCATCTAGTGACATCAGAATAAAATTTCAGAACACCAACTTAAAAAAAATCCTGAAAATTTTTATGGGAAAATAAAACAGATTAGGCACAAAGGAACAAGAATACTATTTTAGACCTTGAATACATGAGTTTGAATCCTGGTTTTAATATTTGCAAACTTCGTGACTTCAAACAAATTACGTATCTTCTTGGTTCTTCATAGATAATAGCAATGAAATCTTGTATGCTCACGTTTAAAGAAATATATGGGTTTTCAATATTTGGAAGTGCATAGAACAACGTCTGTTACATAACATATACTATATCATTGTTTTAAAAATAATATTAAAATCAGACTTCTCATCAGTTATACTGGATGAAGCAAGACAATAATATTATTATTTTTAACGTGATTTCTGTACATCAGGAGTATGAAAATAATCATTTTATAAATGGAAACAATGTTACTAGAAGAAATGATAACAAAACCAAACCAGTATTTGATGTGAATCCATACTTTATGCTTCAAATCCAGCCAAGAAGTTTGTTACAATCTTTTTAAGTGTTGCATGTGACTCTTCTGAGATCTTTCCATCAGCCTCGATGTTGCTACAAGGAATCTCCATGCTCTAACACCCACCTTCAGAAGATTGGCACTGCCGAGATGTCCTCTGTTCTCAAAGAGGGTATTCTTGGAGTTGATATTTCTGTTGACCTTGAAGAAACTCTGTGTGTCTTTAGTATTGGTGGTGGAATTGCCCAACTTCATGGGCTGAGGAATGTTCAAGCAGAAGAAATGGTAGAGTTTTCTTCAGGCTTAATGGATATGTCTCCCAACTTAGAACCAGGCCATGTTGGTGTCGTCATGTTCAGAAATGATAAACTAATTAAAGCAGGAGATATTGTAAAGAGAACAGGAGCCATTGTGGATGTTCCAGTTGGTGAGGAACTGTTGGGTCATGTAGTAGATGCCCTTGGTAATGCCATTGATAGAAAGGGTCCAGTTGGTTCCAAGACCCATAGGCGAGTGGGCCTGAAAGCCTCTGGAATCATTCCTCAAATCTCTGTCAGGGAACCAATGCAGACTGGCACGGAGACTGTGGATAGCTTGGTGCTAACTGGATGTGGTCAACGTGAGCTGATCAGTAGGGACAGACTGGGAAAACAGCAATCGCTATTGACACAATTATTATCCAGAAACGTTTCAATGATGGACCTGATGAAAAAAAGAAGCTGTATTGTATCTATGTTGCTACTGGTCAAAAGTGATCCACTGTTGCCCAGTTGGTAAAGAGACTTACAGACGCAGACGCTCTAAAGTACACCATTGCGGTGTCAGCCACTGCTTCTGATGCTGCCCCACGTCAGCACCTGGCTCCTTACTCTGGCTGTTGTACAGAAGAACATTTGAGAGATAATGCCTTGATCATCTCTGATGACTTATCCAAATAGGCCACTGTGTAACGTCAGATGGGTTTGGAATTTTAATACACCATGCATAGTGACAAAATGGATGTGTCATTTAAAAAATTTATTGTCAACCTTGATGACATCAACATCTCCATTTCTTCTATATACTTGAGATACACAAATATAGCTTTTGTACTGAGTAGTGAAGGTATTAATTGAATAATAGAGTTTAATAAAGCAAATTGCTCTTAGGGAAGTTTTATGAGAATTTGACTAGTACTGTTGTAAACATTGATGCTTTCTCTATTTTTTTACTATTTATATAGAAGTTTGATTTGATTTATCGCTTGAATTACTGTATGTAGTTTACTTAAAATCTAGCCTCAATTTGCTCATCTGCAACTTGGGGATACCATCATCTGCTTTGCTGGAATCCTGCATGGATATAATGTTTTGATATAGTACAGTAAAGTTAAGTGAGGAATGTTTGCCCAGGATGGGAATCAGCCAAGTACCCATTTCCTCTCATTCTTTACCCTCATACACAAAGCAACTCATGCACAAAGAGACTCCAATAAGGAGCTTCTTCTCCTTTTCACCATTCTTTCTTGCTTTCATCCTCTTTCCTTTTGCTGCAATGGGTTTGAATTTTTTTATAAGAATTAGTGAAAATGCTCTACTTAGAGATATTTAAAGTCCCTAATTCTTTTTCTTCACTTAGAATTTTCAAAATATCTAAACAGTTTTTGATGATAGGTGTGAACATGAGACCTGAACTGAGAATCACCTGCATAGAAGTAAGAATTAATTAATTAACAGACCTGACTGTTAATTAGGATAGTCAGGTCTGCTTTAATGTTCATATTTCAAGTTTCAGACAATTGTGAAAGTGCTAAGAAGTTAGAGTATGTATTGCTTGTCTCATATGAAAAACTGCTTCAAGACCCTTTAGTGAAGGATCTCCACCCCTAACAGAGATACAAGACTACTACTGTTCAGTATTCATATGAGAAATTCACGTGGGGCACCCTCAACTACAGCAGCCACATGGGACAGTCACTGGGATGTATTTGCCTGAGGAAGATCTTCTCCCAGGTGGCACAAATGCACATTCTATTCATGAATGTTTTTTGCTTTAGAACCAAAGGGAAGTTCTACTTTGGAAATATTTTGTGAAAGAGAACAGCTTCTGGGTATTTCTTCTGCACCAGCGTAGGTATGACATATTTTAAAGAAAATCTTTCCTTTTAAAAGTCCCACCTACAATTGGGTGTATTAAATGACATCTCTTGCATTGTGTGAGGATTTACTAGTGTATTCCTCTTAAAACAAGCTCCCTCGGGCATCTAAAAATGCTAATTCATCCACAAAAATCACTTTGCTTGCCCAGGCCGTTTTATTTACAAGTATCATCCTAACAAATTGGTTGTACATTGCAGGGCATATACAAGCCTGAGATATATATATATATAATTTTCTCTGAATTGGGAGCTTTAGAAGTAAGTGGGATAAAGATAAATATGCTTTGTCCAACACTGGGTTCATATTCTTATTATGCTTTGAAACATGTGAGCATGCAGCTTGTTCCTGCTCTTTATTTTCTACCCTGAGCAATCTGTTTCTCTATCATCTCCATGAAAATGCTGGAGGCCTGGGGAAAAGAGACTACCCGTAGCTGCTTTATTCACCTTAGTATCCATCTTGAGGATACATTTTCTTACCTTTAAAAATGAGATTAAGGGGCTGGGGTTATAGCTCAGTGATTGAGCGCTTGCCTCACACACGTGAGGCCCTGGATTCGATCCTCAACACCACATAAAAAAAATAAACAGGGCTGGGGTTGTGGCTTAGCGATAGAGTGTGCACCTAGTGCGTGTGAGGCCATGGGTTCGATCCTCAGCAACACATAATTAAAAAATAAATATTAAAAAAACCAGAAATGTATTTAAAATTAAATAAATAAATAAACAAATAAAAATAAAGATATGGGCTGGGGTTGTGGCTCAGTGGTAGAGTGCTTGCCTCTCACGTGTGAGGCTCTGGGTTCGATCCTCAGCACCACATAAATAAATAAATAAATAAAATAAAGGTATTATGTCAACACACACACAAAAAAAAACTTTAAATGAGACTAAGAAGATTTGCTTCTCTTTATGCTTGAAAACCACCTCCAAATACAAGGAGAAAAAACAAGCAAATGAACAAATTTTATTTCTAAAGACACTTGAAGCAAAATATATAGAGAGATGGAAAGCAGATGGAAAAAGTAGTCAATTTCTACTAATAATTAGGCAAATCTAATTACTTACAGAGGGTAAAGAGAAAGAAGGAAGCTAATTCAACTATAGAACCATGGGAAGGTTCTAGACAAAGTAAATGTCAGGTACTTCAGAAGATGGTGGGGAGGGAATCTGAAATAGGTGGATTTATTTAGTTCATATAAGAAACAGACTCTCCAAGCTCATCTCACTTTATAGCATTAGGAAGTGATTAACTTCCCCACCCCTAGGACACTAGAAGTGTATTCTCTGGAAACAAACAAACAAAAAAAAAAAAAAACAAGGGACATCTAGACTTGGCTCACCCAGAGGATTATGGAGGATGTTGGCGGTAAAATGCCAAGCTGAAATTGAGTAGGGAACAATAAGTGAATGGCACCAAATAGAAAGAATCCCTTCCCCGGGTTCTTTCCTCCCCCAATTCTGAATGCTGTGAGCCTATGTTGTATATGCAGGCAAAAGGCTGAAAGACTCTTCTCTGGAGAAGGTAAGTTACTCCAGAGGCAAAACTTCACCCACGTGCAGGGAAATGTCAGTGAACTTGTAAAAACACCATTCTTAAATATAAATGGATAATACTTAACTATGAAAGCAAGGACCCAAAAAACAAACAAAAAGGGAATTTGAAGAAAACAGAGATAAAGAAGAAGAAAACTCCCAAAGAATCATAATTAATAACCATAAAGAGAAGATACGACATCCATGAAATAAGAACAAGATATTTTAGAAAAGAATAAGAAGAGAGGGAATGATATTTTAGACATTACGTATATGATGAGCCAAAATTAAAAGACTAATAAAAAGATCAAAAATAGAGCAAAAATAAAATAGAGACAAAATGGATGCAAAAAGATAAGAAAATTTAAATTTTTCTCATTTCTGGAGGGCTAATATGTAACTAAAAAGAAATTTAGGACAAGAGAATATAAAATATGGTGAAGAGAAAACTATTTTTTAAATGCCAAAAAATATCCTAAAACTGAAGGAGTTGAGTTTTTAGATTGAAAGAGCCTGCTCACTACCTGAACAGTGGACAAAATAAGATCTGTGCTGGGGCATGTTCTCCTAAAATTTAAGAACATAAACAGAAAAATACAAAGAATTTCCAAAAAGAAAAAGCAGATTACCTAAAAAGAATCTCAGGCTTTCTCAGCAATAACTGAATAAATATGATTTTCAACATAGAATTCTATACCTAGCCAAAATATCAACCAAGAGTGAAGTTAAGTAGAAGCATATTTTGATACTACAAAGGATCAAAATTTTATCTTTCATGAACTCTTTCTATGATGGTTATATCCCACCAAAATGAAAGAAATATATAGGATTCTGGAAACATGAAATCTGATTTAGGAGCATGGATATCCATGATGGTAGCCTAAAATTTTGTCAGGAAGTACAACAGGACTAGAGAACAAGCAGCCCATAAACTGGAAAACAGGGAATCGTGTGGAATATCTCAGGCTTGAACTGAGAGTTTTTACCACGTGGAAAGTTATATTGAGACATGATTTATCCAGCAGTTGAAGGGTGTTGGAAAATACAGCCACAGGATCAAAAAAAAAATAAGCAAAGGAAAAAACAAGATAATAATGAATTTCTAGGAAAGCCAGAGTCATTCATGAACTGTGTACATCCTTCACTATAATACATCACAACATGCAATACCCTGCTTCGCTCAAGTGCACAGCAAGAAGTATTTTCACAGTTGTGATAATAAAAACATTGAATAAGTAAGTATTTAACTAAAAATTGTGGTACATCTGTAAGGAGGAAAAAAGAATACTAAAATCATTTGCTCTAATATGGGAATGTGTAAATGTAATGAAACAAGGAATGTCTATATGTACGCAAAACTATAACAGAAAAGAAACTAGAAACTTTAAAGTCATTGTCTTCTCTCCGGGTGGAGGAGGAAAGTGAAATCAGAGGGGGGGATAACTGCTATTTTTTATTATAAGTCTTTTAGCACTGTTTGGCTATTTAATATAATATATGGATAAATACTAAAACTGAATTGAGGTATATTATAAACATTTTTAATGTTTTAATGTCAATTTTTTAGGATTATGAAGAAAATGCAGGTTTATTAAAGATTTATAAGATACACAATAATTAAGAAAACTTTAAATTATCCACCCAAAATAAGGAAATAGGGAAAGTAGATCTGACCAAATTGTTGCAATGAAACCCATTATTTGTGCAATATTAATGTGCACGAATACTTTCAATTTAAAAATTATAAGGGCTGGGAATGTAACTCAGTAGTGGAACACTGGCCTAGCTTGCACAAGACCCTGGTTTTGATCTTTAGCATGGAAAAAAAATTATCCATCCAGCGTCATCTGTTGGGAGCCATTCTTTATTGATATGAACAGAAACCATATTTCAGATAATTTATATGCCTACTTTAGCTTGATTATAATCAGAGATTTTCATGTGTTTAAACACTCCTCATGGACATTTTTATTGGCTGCATAAAAGTACATTGATGATATGACATTATTTAACTATAGCCATGTCTTTGGACATTTCTTTTTAAAAAATATTTTCCAGTTATAAATAATTTGAGCCAGGTGTGGTGGTACATGCCCCTAATCCCAGCAGCTCCAGAGGCTGAGGCAAGACAATCACAAGTTCAAAAGTCAATCTCAGCAACTCAGCAAGGCCCTAAGGAACTTATGAAGACCCTTTGGGGAGCCACTCTGAATGACCACACCTTCCAGTCCTGAAGCACGAGGCTCTGACCAATCACTACATTCG